ACAGGATATCTAGACAGGTTCTCTACAGACGTAAAGGAGGAGGATTGGGCCTACCAAACCTATACTTTTATTACCCTGCGGCCCAACTGACGCAGGTGGCTATGTGGCACTCCCCGCCGGAATAGAACATGGGTTGAAATAGAATCCATGATGGTGGGCTGGGACGTCCCCCAATTCACTATGTGAACATAGACCCATGATACGAGTGACTTGCCCAGCCATATGCAAATCACTCCAAATATAGGACACAAACAAAACCAAGTATGGACTGGCAGCCTCCCCCTCCCCACTGACTCCACTTCTTAGAAATAGAGGAGTTTCAACCTGGAATGGGTCCTAGATAGTGATGTCCCGAACGGTTCGCCGCTGACTCATCATTGAGTAAACTTTGACCCTGTACCTCACAGTCAGCAGACCCTCCCTCCCACCTCCTGGACAGCATCCATTTTGAAGCTGCATTCTTAGTGAGCTGTCCAGGAGGAGGGAGGGTCTGCTGCGGATTGGCTGGAATGTGTCTGCTGACTGAGGTACAGGGTCAAAGTTTACTCAATGATGAGTCCGCGGCGAACCGTTCGGGACATCACTACGCCTAGAGATTTTCGAAACTTAGAAAGAACAGGACTACAACGGATCCACCAGTTATACCACAACGGGAACCTCGTCCAATTTGCGGAACTTCAACAAGATAACCACTTAACCCCAAGGGATTTCTTCAGATCCGGGACAAAGGCAACAGCTCAGGGAAAGATGACTTTCTATGAGAAATTATGCTTAGACGGAGTGGCCCCCAGTGGCATGATAACACTCATGTATGCCCACCTCAGCATGTAAAACCAAGAATGGGGAAGGTTGACTTACACCAACCAGTGGGAGACAGATCTGGGAGAAGTACTAGAAAGTGTTGAATGGCAAGAAATATGGGAAGCAAATAAAAATGCTTCTGTGTCACGCTACAGGAAGACGTGGAAAACCATGTTCAGATGGTATGCCACTCCCGTAAAACTGTATAAAATGCACAAAATGGACACAGATGATTGTTGGAGGCGTTGTGGAGCCCGAGGAACATACCTTCACATGTGGTGGCAATGCCCGAAAATCAGTAGATTTTGGAAAGCAGTTGAGGACTTACTGATACAGACATTTAACAGGCCCCTAGTTCTGGATCCGTGGATATATCTATTGAATAGGTCTATCGACAGATGGACCAAGAGAGAGCAGAAACTAGTACATAAAATAACTAAGTGCGCGACGAACAATAGCAACCGTATGGCTCTCACCACAGGGTCCGGAGTTTCCGGGAGTGAAATCCAGGATCCGTGAATGTAGGATAATGGACGACCTGACAGCAAGGGTGAAGAGGACGACAGTAGCATTTCTAAGACTCTGGGAGCCATGGGATTATAGCATAGTGGGATCCAGCAAAGACAGGTAAGACTGAATAGGAGAAGGTGAACTAGCAGCGGAGGTCCCCTTCTTGCGAAAGACAATGCCATCGCATATGGCACAAGGGGCCCCTGATCGCCCTCCCGGATGCTGCACCCCAATCTCTCTCTCCTTTTTCTCCAAACTATCTACTCTGTTTCTGATCTCTTTTCTCTTACCTCCCGATTCCTAAGGGAAGGATACCTTTCTCAATTTTAATTTCTTTTTTTAGATTTCTTACATAAATTTCCTCAGGCATGGTCAAAATAATGAAGGAACAGGGAGACCTAGAGCTATAGAATAGATATTAAAATAGGACTCCTATAGTTATGTCTGAAAAATATAAAACCCTCGATGGGAGACAAGCATCAAAGATGTAAAGAAAAGGTATCACAAGGTTCATATGCGCAAGCAAAATTATTACTGTACACCTGCTACTCCTGTCGAGTAAAAAAAAAAAAAAAAAGAAAAAGAAATAAAGGGAAACCAAAGCTTACTGGACACTTCATGCTGTTTGATCTAGAAGTCCCAGTTCTATAACTGGATAATCAAATTTTTCGTTTGGGTGAAGATCAGAGAGAGTATGAACCAAAATGCTTTGTATTAAATGTTGACTACTCAATGCTCCAGCTAAACAGAGGAATATTAAGTTCTATGCATAAGTGAATAGACCTAAGAAAAACTAACCCAAGCATATCCTAGAACAAGATTTTTCAAACAAGACCTTGTTTGTACATAATTGCTATCGATGTAGAACTATCTGACCAGATCTGGATAAGATAATACCTGGTCTTTATCTGAAAGGCACAGAGAGCTAGCCAGATAGCCTTCGGTCCTATGTAGTTGGATACGTTTTTACAAATTATCTCAGCTAATTTCCCTTTAACCCTATGAGAACCTAGCTGAGACCTGAAGCATCAGTCTTAAAATTCTGAACGATCGTTTTGAGAACTAGAACAAAAAGAAAGAACCGTCTGGCATCCTTCATTTCTGCCTGGTTCAGAAAGGAATGACCGAAAGTATAGGATTTTACTGCAAAATCTTATCAGCAACTGTATCTGGCCTCTGAAGGACCTGTAAACAGTGCTATGCCTAAAGAAGCTGAAGAGACCAAGCAGGTTCTTACAAGACGGGATCCAATATTATTTCCCTAGTATCTTGTCTACTGAAGTAGAAGAGAGGTTTCTGGTGATAAGGACAGAGAGAACCACAAATTCTTTCTTCAGGGAATTACCAGTCAAAATATTTACACCTGAACTGTTCCTTGACAAACACCAGAACTGCACACTTCTTGAAAAAGGAATTCTTTATCAGAAGATTGATTAGCATCCACCTGTATGCTGTAGAAAAACACCCTAACCTTTAGCTGGTGTACAAAAATTAGGTGCCCCTGAGGAAGCAGTATTGTAGAGATTCAACAAATTTATGGATGGCAACATTTTGCATAGTGAGAGAATCTCAAGTGGCAATTGCCATAAGCTTTTTCTTAAAAGAAAACTGCAGACAAACCTCGGCAGTAAACCATCCCAGTCATATTGTATCTATTGCAGTGCAGGGAACAAATTGAATCTGGTGGAACTACACCTTGATCAATAGGCTTGCAGCTGTACTAGAGCTTGCTTCAAGCCTAGTAACATGAGGAAGAAATAATTTTCCATGGGACTAGTTCATACAGGTTACCATCTTTATTTGCGGAAGTGAGACTGATTACATAGATATACAGTCTGCATAAGGCAATACCCATGATCCAGGCCTTCCTTAGCCGTAATTGGGAAGCAGAGGCTAGAGCAGACATTATCTGCAACTGCATTTCAAAACCTGTTTGATGCAGACTCTGCAGGAAACAATATTAGGAAGCATTTTCTTTAAAATTTCCATTCCAACAGTTAGCTCAAACCTGACAACATAGGACTTGGAATTTAAGATAAAACAAAATGTGCAACCATGGAGCTAAACACAGGAAAAGTTCTGCCCCAGCTGAAAAACAGACTGCCTTTTTAGAAACTGATATCAGGTGAAACTAGTTGAGGTGGTGAGAATGCCAGTTGATACAGAGCTTTGTCTACAGCAATTGCTAAAAGCCTACTGCATGTTTAAGAAAAACACTTCAGCTAGGATCCTGGCATTTAAAGAATCCATCTGCTACAACAGTATATTAACGTAACCAAAACCAGATTTTAAAGATCAGCCTCCTAAGGAGAACATACAGAGGATAATCCTCCAATAGTCAAACGGGTCTTGCTCTTGTGAATATATTCCACCAAACAATTCACTTTAATTGCTGATCCTGTTGCAGCAATTCTGGATTATTGAAACCCATATTAACTAATCACTGTGTAGCAGCTATTTTGAGCCAGAAAGGAAACTTACATTTTCCAAATAGAATTATATAAAAGTTAATGCTAATACACTTTATAGACTTGATTCAAAGAATAATCTATTTTCGGCCCGATCTACTAAGTGCTTACCCTTGCAAAGCACTATTTGTTTTAAGATTTTAGTAATCTTTTAAGTGATGAGAAGGTAAAAACTCTCCAACTTAGAAACATTTGCGCTTTAGCTTATCCATCTTGCAGCACAGATAATTAACTTATTCAGGCCAGAGTCATTTAAGATAAAGCAAAAAGGCTTACCTTAAATGTCCTCAGAGTGTGTTGGAAGTTGGTGAGAACACACTTGCAACAGATTCTGAGTGCACCTGGCAACAGTTAGTTGCTGCTGGGTAAACAGCCTCTCTAAGTCCTGGAAACCAATATCTTGACCCCGGAGAGAAAAAAAAATAAGATATTGGCACCTGAATTTTAAATCACATTACGCATGTCCTGCATTTTGCGATTCCAAGGTGGAAATAAACGTAACCTGTACGAGTGTTCCACCGCCAGGACTTCCCAGCTAGTGCCCAAATGCGCACCACCGTCTGCCCGGCACCTGGCTCTGTCTAGACAGAATACAACCCGGGGAGATACAGCCGTCTGGTGTGTTATCCCTGGCTGATCTTTGAAAAATATTTTAAAGTAGAGGCTCAGCCCTCTCACCCTACTTCTAGGGAGAAAACCTGAACCTGACACCCTCCTCTGCCAAAGGCAGGCAAAGAACTGCAGATGTCTTAGGTAGGAGGCAATTTATAAGGCCAACGGTTAATTGGGAGAGGTTCTTGAAAAGTTTGGGAGATTGCCTGCCTGTTTTTTCCCTCCAGGTGATGAAATACAAGTTGTAAAGCACTGCCTCTAATCTGAAGGGAAAAAAACTATTCTAAATTAAAGATGTTTAGTGGTTTAATATAATAAGAGTCCCCTTGGAAATGGTCACACCCTGTCGCGGAGTCCCAAGGTATGCAGTCCACAATTAGGTAAGTTCATATTTTGTGTGTCTTTGTTTGGAACAAGTACATTGCATTAAATCATTATCTCTGTACTAAATTTATATGAATTAACTATGTTGAACTGTAATGAAATATTGGATTTTATTTGCATTTGTTTTTGGCAATGCTAAAAAAAAAAAAAACTCCAACAAGCTACAATTTTTTTTGTTTGAGGGCGTGAGAGGGAAAGAAAGGACATCAAATTTGACCAAATGTAGCTTTATTCAGTCTACAACATGTCAGTAAGATTACAAGCCTGACTCTTAAAGCCAAAGGAGAATCCTTTCACCGTGACCCAAGACTAACCACAGATGGGATTGTTGCACACTGTAGAGACGAGAACAGCTAGCAAGACAGGGAACATTGCTAGAGGTCAGGATAACCTCGCTGTCCTGAAATTGCAGGGCTAGGGACCATCTCCAACAATAACCAGTTATCTCCTCAGTGGTTAAACGGCAGTCTGCAAGACTATCAAGGGACTTTATTGAACCCAACAATATCCAGTTGCAATTTAGTAGTTTGTGAATAGCTGAATTAGCTAAGTTATAAGACAAGGCTAATAACAAAGCTCAACAAATGGAAAAATGCTGATCGAACAGAACTTATTTTTTGAGAAAAGGTGTTTGACAGATTTAAAAAAAAAAAACGCACTGTCTGCCAGGACAGAGAAAACAGACAATGCATGCAAAGCTCAGGCAACAGTAAAGACCCTGAGCTGCAGTTATGAAGCGTAGAGTAACCATTTAAATAACCTGTGTATATTATATTAAGCCACAATATGTGCTGTTTGCAATTCACTTAGGTCTTGACATGAGTTTATTAAAAAATCAGAAGTGTTACCTTGCATACGTTTTTCCCTTTCTTTCTCAGAGAAAAGGAAAAAAAAAAGCCTTGCTGAATTCAGATCCACCTTCGGTTACAAAAAGAAATGGTTGAAAGAAGCAAAAAAAAAAAAATTCCATAACAAGCAGCACATGCAGACACTCAAAAGCACATCTGTATGCAGAAGTGTTCTTCCTGAGAGGGCACGGAAACCTACAGTAAATAATGCATGTTTAGGGCTACTCTAATGTTTGTATGCGACAGATTGAGTGATTAACTACATTTTGCTACCAAGTCAGCAGGAACCAAAAAGTATTCAATCGTCTAAATGGTTTCCAAAATCTTCAGGAGGAAACCAAAGAACAGGAACAAAAATAGTTGAGAAGCAGTTATTTCCAGGAAATTACATCTTCAAACCTGGAGAAAGTGAATTTGATACATTTTTATTCTGTAAGAGACAGGTCTACCATCATGCAATATACAAGAAAGAACAAAGTCTGCACTGCAGGAACTCACTTTATTTGCTCTGAAAAGTGTACGTACAACAGTTTTCAAATAAAAAAAAAAAATAGCCCCCTCCCAGGACAATACAAACCTTCGTTTTATTTACAACATCAGCAGCCAGAGTGTTAACTGGGTATTGCTCATCACACCCTTCCAGCATTACATATTCTTCATACAATCAATAACATAATTAGCTTTCTACTGAGGCTTTTCATATAGACCACTTTTTCTCAAAAAGGAAAATGGGGTAGGAATACATGCAAGCCCCTGCACCAATTGCTTTTACTGCTCTGTGCCAGAATGTACATAAGAAATTAGTCTAAAACCTATTAGAATTTATACAGCTGTGGTTTAACACTTTCAACTGTCAAAAAAATAAAAAATAAAGTGTTATCCACTCTACCAGATAAAGAATAAGGTTTCACATAGATGTGTCAGCACCAGAACATTACGCACTGTATTTGACAAGGGGTAGTGTAGTGAGGGCAGATTTCTAACACTGGTCACCTTTAAAGAAATGCCTTTACTCGCGAGAGCTTGAGCGAGACCGAGAACTGGCAGCAGAAGCAGCTCGAGGGGGAGGAGAGACAGAGTCCTCATTGGTGACAAAAGGTGCAGATGGGGATCTGGAACGTGATCGGGTACCTCCATTTCCATTTTCCTTTGGCGAGTTGACTGGGGAGTTGGACCTTGATCGGCTGTGTGAGGACCTTTCCTGTTTACTCTTTGAATGACTTTCAGAGACTTCATGGTTATCAATGGAGCCGCTGCGGGACCGTTCTCTCTGGCCTTTAGAGCGACTACGAGAACGATCCCGCTTGGTCTTGGAGCGGCTGCGGGATCGCTCACTCTTGCCCTTTGAGCGGCTGCGGGATCTCTCCCTTCTACCCTTGGAACGGCTACGAGATCGCTCCTTCTTGCTCTTAGAACGGCTACCAGACCTCTCCCTCTTTCCCCTGGATCTGCTGCGAGATCTTTCCCTTTTTGATCTGCTACGAGAGCCCTCAGATCTGCCTTTGGACCGACTACGTGATCTGCCTCGCTTTCCCTTGGACACACTAGGCGACCTCTCTTGCTTCCCTTTGGACAAGCTGCGAGATCTGGATCCATGTTCAGATTTTGGCTTGCTCTTTGATCTAGACTTCCTCTGTTTTGACAGAGAACGCTCCTTACTTCTAGATCTTGATTTAGACCTGTCAAAACATTAAAATTAATTAACAGCTCAAATGCAAATATAATGTGTAGAGACGCATGATTAACATTGTGGCAAAAGTCTTTAGAACACACAATCAAAGCATTAAATATTAGTCCAAGTTCTGTGAACAGAAATATTCACCTGGACTGGCTCTTAGCAGGAGAGTGTGATTGGCTTCGTTTAGCAGGTGAATGGGATCTGCTCTTTTTGGCAGGGGAGCGAGACCTACTTCTAGATCTACTGTGGCTGCTGTGTCTACTCCTGCTGTGTGATCTTCTCCTGCTCCTGGATCGTGACCTTTAAAAAAAAAAAAAAAAAAATTTGTAACGATTTTTATTTACACAATACATGTCATGGGTTATGGAGATTAAAGGACCACTCTAGGCACCCAGACCACTTCAGCTTAATGAAGTGGTCTGGGTGCCATGTCCAGTTAGGGTTAACCCATTTTTTCTTACAAACATAGCAGTTTCAGTGAAACTGCTATGTTTATAATAGGTTAATCCAGCCTCCAAATCCTCTAGTGGCTGTCTCAATGACAGCCGCTAGAGGTGTTGGCGTGCTTCTCCCTGAAAAAAAACCAGTGAGAAGACGCCAGCGTCCATAGGAAAGCATTGTAAATGCTTCCCTACGAGACCGGCTGAATGCGTGCGCAGCTCCTGCCGCGCATGCGCATTCAGCCGAAGGGGAGGAGAGGAGGCGGAGAGCTCCCTGCCCGGCGCTGGAAAAAAAAGTTTAAACCCTTTCCTTTCCCCAGAGCCAGGCAGGAGGGGGTCCCTGAGGGTGAGGGCACCCTCAGGGCACTATTGTGCCAGGAAAACGAGTGTTTTCCTGGCACTATAGTGGTCCTTTAAAGTTAGAAAGGGGTGTTTTCAGGCAGAACAGGCAACATCAAGGACTAAAACACCAACATACACCCCATTGTTAATAAAAATAGATTACTCACATAGGTGTAGAGGGTTTTCTTTAAATACAATAATTTTACAAGTGGAGCATAAAAAAAAAACAACAAAATTTGATTAAGTGATAGATATGCCCAGTTACCTTGATCTACTTCCAGAGTATGACCTTCTGTGACGAGTCCTGCTCTCCACAAGCCTAATCTTTCTTCCATTGATCTCAGTTCCATCCAGCTTCTCCAGAGCTCTTTTCATGTCAGAGTGAGATCTGAATTCTATTACACCCTCATTGGTACGCTCTTTGTGGGCATCTGCATAGGTGACTTCACCAGCCTGCCTCATGAAATCCTGGAAATTGAAGTTAGAGGAAGGAACTTTTAAACGGCCAGTGTTTCACCAGCTGACAGATATCCAATCATACCCAGAACTGTATTCAGAATTTAAAAAAATAAAATCTAAAACTTTCTAATAGATATTAAAACCAGTGAAGTATTTAGTCTGACATATCACTCACCTTAAGGTCCTGCCAACTACATCGGCTGGAGAGATTCTCCACAATAAGTCGGAACTCCGTACGGACAGGAGGGCCATACTTATCTCTGCCTGACCGCTGGCTCCTGTATCCTCCTCCTCCACCACCACCTCCACCACCACCACCTTCATTGCACACAGAAAGATAGATTAGTTCCTCACAATTTATGCATGGGCCAAATCTATTTCTTGTAGGGATTTAAATAAAGCTTGGAAAAAAATGTGAATATTAAATAAAACCTCCTTTCAATATGTGATTCTGGCGAGAGAAGATCAGCAGGGATGTGTTACACACTCCAATCTGCTATATTGAGGGGCCTGTTTAAGGAATGAATTCTGCCAACCTTTGTTTTTAGGTTTACCAAAGAATTTTAAATGACTATGACATTACAATAGTTATCATAATTACATGCACTGCTACAAAGCATTTTTTTATTTATTTTTTTAAACATGAGATGCCAGTCACTATATTTACATTAAGGCAGGAGGTATAACAGAAGTGGCTTATGGAAGCACACGCAAGGGAAGTCACCTAATTCAAATTAAAACCAGTTTGTTCTAACCCTTGGAATCCTCACCATCACCCTGCGTCTAATGGCAAAAGGCTGCTGTCGTCATGGCTTCCGGTAAGGTCAGCCAAAGGGTCATAGGGCAAGGGTCACACAATGTTTGGAAAGGCCAACCAGGAAAGGCAGTCATCTTAAGCCTCAATGGTCTCAGCCCCCACTGGTCTCTTTCAAATTGAAACATCAAGGACGGTTAACAAAGGATTTTGGAATTCAACATGCAAAAAGGTTAAGAATATACAAGTTAAACATAACAATTACCACCCCGCATCCCCAATTGTGAATTCACCCCCACCCAACCATAACTTTTCTAGCTACTTCAACATCCAAGATACCTGAATATAATGGTTACTGACCAAGGGAGCCAGCCTTAAGTTAATTTACAGCAACATTGTTAGATACTAACCCTTTCAACAGCAGATCTGCTGAACACTAGAAAGGGTTAGCAGAAACAAATAGGTGTATTTGAATTGAATGTAAAGCATGTAGCCACTCACCAAATACTAATTTTAGACAAACATACCCACTTTTTTTATAAACCAATTTCATTACGGTTAGTAAGTTCTCTTCCGGATCACTATGTGCTCAAATTGTTAATTTTGAGGCAGTTATGAAAAAATTAAAAAACACTTACAGGAACACTATAGGGCCAGGAACACAAAAATGTATTCTGACCTTATACTGTTAAAACCAAAGCAATTAAAACTCACCTTATTTCCAGTGCCGTTTGGGTCTGCTGGCGCTAGCTCCGCCCCCTTGATGACATCAGAACTGCTAATTTTCAGCCAATTAAAATGCTTTCCCTTTGAGAAAGCATTGGATTGGCTGAAATTGGCAAGGTGCAGAGCCAAACGCTGTTTTTGCATATCAACACCTCCTCATAGAGATGCATTGAATCAATGCATCTGAGGAAAATTCAGCTTCCCCATGCAGAGCATGGAGACGCTGAACGGCACTGCTGCCTACTATGCAGCACTGAGCCAGGAAGCACCTCCAGTAGCCACTTTGAGGTGTCCCTAGGGGCAATGATTATACTCACCAGAACTACATTAAGCTGTAGTTCTGGTGACTATAGAGTCCCTTTAAAATGAAGCAGATTTTGAGCCTTTGAAATCGAAGGCGATACCACATTGGTATCAGATTTTCTCCCCTCCAAATACAGATTGAAAGTAGTAGTCCGGCCAGGTGTAAAGAGATTACATACAGGGCTAGTCTTCCAAAGTGTGTTCCAGCACACAGGCTACAACACTACCTATACTGTAGGGCTTAGTTACCATGAGGCTTAAATGTCCCTTTAAATCAGAGCATGGCAACGATGTAGCTTGTAAAAGGTTTGTTAGTGCTTCAAGTGTGGAAGACTTTAAATGGAGAACAAGAAACTTTACTAAGGCTGCTTGAACAGAAAGGAGTTTGCCAGTACCTGTTTAAGTGTTGACTTTCCAAATATAAAACACTGGATTAATTAAAACCCCATTTTCAGAATTTACATGAAAAAATTTTGAGGCCCAAAGGAACAATAGAGAAAACCATGCCTGTTCGGATATTTATGGCACATGTGATCTAGTGCTGTTTGCACCTTACACAAATAACTACTTACAGCTCTTGGAGGCTCAACTGAGTCTTTTAAAATAAGACTAGATGTTAAAGTTATGGCAGCCTGATTCATGCATTGATTGCGAGTTAGAAAACTGCGTCAACTTGACACCCAGGCTGCAGAATATGACTTAACCAAAGCAGTCCTTAACGACATAATCAAGTCTTACAGCTCAGTATGTCATCTTATCAGGAAAGAAAAATATGTAGGCCTCACTGGTGAAATATGCCACTATTCTTTGCAAGGTTCCCTTCTGAAGAACCTTGCACATTAAAAATATACGTTTGTAAACAATGTTTGTTCACCAGTCTGAAGCTTTAGAGGAGCAGGGCAGAAAGCAGCGGTTTATACCCTTTAAACTCTATTTATCCTGTTCCACTGGTGTTAATACTATGCTGACCACAAACTAGAACCCAGACGAACAAACGACTAGTGAGTCATGGCAATGCTTACTGCGACTTCCATAGCTGCTGTATCCCTCTCTGTCTCTACGAGGTCCTTTAGCGTGCTCCACAATGACACGCTCCCCGCACAGGTCTTTGCCATTCAGCTCATACACAGCATCGTCTGCATCTCGCGAGTCCTCAAACTCTACAAAACCATATCTAGAAAGAGAAAATTCAGTCAGGTTAGTATTTAATGTAGCAATTAAAACTTAAAACATTCGTAGCCATAACACTTTGAACCACAAGTGTCATACAGCCAGGATGGAAGCAATGATTACCTATATAGAACAGTGCTTACAATTTCAAGTCCTACACTACTAGCCAGGCCTTAAACTTTACTAAAAGTCTGAAGAGTCCATGGTACACTTACCAGGGCTAGTTTCAGTCGCTAATGGTCAGCGAAAATTCTCAACCCCGATATGGAAGATAAAGTGAAACAAACTTGACATGATTAGGAGCTTCCAGCTGGAGAAAAGCTGTAGTTAAAGTCAAGCTGTTCTACATATGGGAGAGCATTGTAGTAGTTTGTGTGCCTGGATGGTTTCTTTAAAGGGAAAGCTATAAAGAGCATGACCCAGCACCCAGGGACATCGGTGCTGCCTTCAGTATTAGGACTACCACATAAAGCATTGAATCGATGGTTTTCTATGGGATTTTAGCCAACACCGGATGTCCTCATGCAAAGAGTGAGGACGTCTAGCATCAGTTAGGCTAACAACATGGAAGAGCCTCTAGTGGCTGTCTGGTAGACAGCCATTAGAGACGCTAACCCTGCAATGTAATTATTGCAGTTTCTTAACTGCAATATTTACAATTGTAGGGTAAAGGAGACAGGGGCACTGCCCCCAGACAACTTCTGACCTGAAGTGGTCTGGGTGCCTATAGTGCCCCTTTAAACCCCAAGTTTTAGTAGCTTACATTATGTATTAATACCGATGTAGCCCAAGACCGTTGCGCAATAAATTATTGTGCAGTCTTGTTGAAACTTTCATAGACCTATCTCACACAAGAGGACAACATTGATGAGGGCTCCTGTCAGATAGGCCACGAGGAGAAATGGACCCTGGAAGGAAAATGGCAGCAGCCACAAGGGAAAGCTTCAAGTATAAAGTATATCTCCCATAAGCTTCTTCCCCAAGCCACCAGACATCAATGGGACATGTCACCTTGGGAAGACCTCCAAACTGACAGATGGTTTAAGCAATTCCGTATTTGAAGTGTTTTGTATCTGACCCATAAATCCCAGCAACATGTTGCACAAGTTCAGTGTTATATTCTGAGACAAGCGAGATTCCAATGTCACTTGACTGCAGTGCCAAGAAAAGAACAACCAGGATGTGAGAAATTATTTGACCTCACTAAAGAGACACTAAGCACCCAGACAACTTTATCTCAATAAGTTGGTCTGGTTGTCATGTCCATGCGGGAGAGAAAAAGGTATGTAAAATACTAGTTTCTCCCTTCAGATGGGGGCTGGTAAGCTTAACAGTCACCAGGACACTATAGCATCAGGAATACACATTTGTATTGCTAGTTCCTTGGATCAGGTGGCTGACATGCAACCGAAGAAGGTCTTAAGGGGAAAGACTATGTAATGACAGAATGAAGTATAGTTTTATTAGGATGCAAGGCTACAGTTGCATTCAATGTGTAGAAAACATCACATATTCAGACCATTTGGCATAAGATTAGAATAAGCCAGTTCCTTGCATATAGACTGTTTACCAATCAGCACGATGGACAGATGCTTCAACTCCATCACGGTGTCTAGATTTTATAATGGGTGCTTATGAATAAAGGATTTCAAGGCTGCCAATAGGTAGCCCAGATGTTTGTACCTACAAGTACACAAAATTCACTGACTATATAATGCAAGCTTTTATAAATATAAAATTATGCCAGGTTTCCAGGCTTCAGTCCTGATTATTTTTATTATTTTTTTTTTTTTTTAAGAGTAAATTTAACCAAGTAGACCATTGGTAGGCCAAGCTACCACTCACTAGGAGCATGAAAAGGAGTGAACGTGTCTCAATAAGATAACCATGCTGCAATCTATGCTGAGCCTCAAGTCACTAACAACCATGCAACAGCGTTTACAGGGCTTATACCTCAGGACCAACACCACATGCAAAGCACTCAGGCACCCACATGGTTTAGGCCTCTGCTCACACTATCAGGAATTACCAGATTAAGAATTGTAGTTATTTGAAATCCCAGTAACAAAATGGAAGCAGTGACCATAGCCAAGACATTTTCAAAATCAGTTATTCTAGTACAGATATTGGTTTTCATTATCTTGAATAACCTTGCATGTGTATAGTTCCCAGTGGCCATACCATGTGCACATAGCCCATCAATACCTGTGCCCACACATTATACAGACCGTGCCAACAATTTAAATATAGACAGAGCGACACTAGTAGTTGGCTGTGTGTGGACAGGGCTTCGCTGTGAAGTTATAGGGAACTTAATTTAAGTAACTAAAATGTAATTTAGAACAAAAGTATCATATTTCCACATACTGACTTCTAAACACATTTACTGCAGTTTGAATACACAATTGGGGGGTGGGGGAGTTGCTGTGGAGCTTTGTTCTACACCAAGATACTCCAACATTACAGAGGGATTTAGGTCCACTTTCTCTTTGCAGTGTCAATTCACTGAACTCCAAATCTAAATTCCCTGAAATCTGAGTGTCAGGTTTTAGACCAGGCCAGGATTACAAAACTGATGGGGGTTGTTTCCAGAGCAGCTATTTGTAACTTCGTTTTACAATACAGCACCTGAGCCCCTAAGCCAGAGGGGATGGCAACTTTCAGCACTCCCATGGACTACATCACCCATGATGCCACAGAACCGACACATAGTCCATAGTATCAGGAGTGCTGATGGTTCGTCTTGCCACACATTCTGGAGCATACACCCCCCCTCCCCCCACAGTGTGTAAACAATACCCCGGGGCTCGCGCTAACCGCCACGCGGCCGGCACGCGCGCACCAGCGACGTCATCCTAACACCCACCCCCCCTCCACAAACCACCGCCGCCATTTTGAGCTGGAAACTTCTCTACTCATCAATAACACCCCCTTACCCCCAACGCCGCTCACACCCCCCTCCCCCCACAGATTAATAACTAGGGCCCCCTCAGAGAAAATGGCGGCCGACGCGCGCGCGCACACACCTCCCCGCGTGCCTCAAATCAATAGAGAGCGGAGAGCCTGCCCCCCTCCCCCCCCCAGTGATGGCGCTCGTGCTGCCAGATGGTCCCTCTCTCTCGCTGGGTTTTTTTTTTTTTTAATTCCCCTCACCCATTCTTTAGGTCGACTTCTAGCAGCTTGCCGTAACCGCCGAAAAACCTCTGGATGTCCTTCTCCCGGACGTGGTAGCTCAGCCTCCCGATGTAGATGCGCGGCATGGCTGTGAGGAGAGAGGAAGGAAGGCGGGGGGGAGTCGGTAAAGATGGCGCGCGCTCTCTCGGCTCCGCAGCGAAGTGACACTCACAAAGGCGCGAGAGAAACCTTATATACTGCGGGGCGTGGCTGGAGGAGGGTGCGCGCGACTCCTCGAGCTTCGCCGGCTCCGCCCACCTCGCCAGAACGTATCGGGGCAGTAAAGAAGAAAAAAAAAAGGAATGTCGTGTGACGTCATCAATCTAGGTATTTGCTGGCTGGATACTAGGTAGTAGAGCGCTCCAGCTGTTAATGGGCTGCAGGAGACTCCATATTGTCATGCAAGTGGGTAGCACGGAAGTAATGTTTCCCTGGAGTGTGTACAATTGAAATTGGACACAAAAAAATAAATAAATATACTGTATATACAATTCTCATTAATTTCAACCCTACCTTGGTAAATTCATAAAGTTTGCTCCAGAAACAAATTAACATAACCCCCAACTGTCCTGAGTACAGGGGGAAAGTCCTGATTTGGGGGCTTCTGTTGAAGTCATGCTGCTAGGGATGCCTTAAAAAAAATACAGTGCAGACTCCTCTTATGTTACAGCAGAAATATTTGCTGAAATTAGTCAAATTAATTTAAAAAGTGTTTATAGTAAAAACAGATTCCATAGTGCTTTACAATATTATGACAGGGGGGATTTAACTATAACTAGGATAATTACAAGAAAACTTACAGGAACGATCTTACAGTCTATAGGAAGTGGGATATAAAACACAATAGGACAGGAAATAGCAATCAAATAAGGTGGTAGTGAAGCAGAGCTGGAGGAGAGAGTAGAGTGCTGCCCTTTAGGACAGCGCAAGAGACAGGTATGTGAGGTAGAGGTTACTCTGGGAGGCCATAAGCCAGTGGTGTATCCTGTTTTTGTGCTGCCCTAGGCAGGACAAAACTCAGGCACCCCCCTCCCCCGCGCCACCCCTACCCAACCCTTCCCCTCTGCCCCGCCTTCTAAATACACACACACAGTCAGACACACACACACACAGTCAGACACACACACACACAGACACAAACACACACACACACAGTCAGACACAAACACACACACAGTCCAGACACAAACACACACACACAGTCAGGCACAGCACACACACACACATACAGTCAGACACACACACAGTCACACACACACACACACACACACAGTCAGACTCAGACACACACAGTCAGACACAAACACACACAGTCAGACACACAAACACACAGACGCACACACACAGACACACACACACACAGTCAGACACAGACACACACACACAGTCAGACACACACACACAATCAGTCACATTAATACTTTTTAAATTTTTTTTTACCCCCCCAGCCCCCTTACCTTTGGGAATGCTGGGGGGGGGGGGTAGGTTCCCTCTCTCCCTGGGGGTCCAGTGGTTGCCGGGCTGGGCGGGCGGCTGGCGAGGGAACACTTCCTCTGAGCGGTCTGCTCAGCTCCCTCGCGTGCTGCAAAGTGAGGCTGGGAGCCGGAATATGACGTCATCAACCAGGCTCCCAGCCTCACTCTGCGGCTGGTGAGGGAGCTGAGCAGATCGCTCAGAGGAAGTGCTCCCTCGCCAGCCGCCCGCCCAGCGCTCAGCAGCCAGCGCCGCCCGCCAGCCAGCCCAGCATGTCAGTTAGCCGCAAGGCTAACAAGGCATTTGCCCTGGGCATTTGGGGGCGGCGTTTTTTGCCGCCCCTGGAAAATGCCGCCCAAGGCAAATGCCTTGTTTGCCTCGCGGCTAATACGTCCCTGCCATAAGCTTTCCTAAAGAGATGGGTTTTAAGGCACTTCTTAAACAAATAAAGACTAGGGGAGAGTCTGATGGCGGTAGGCAGGCTATTGCATAGGAAGGGAGCTGCCCGCGAGAAGTGCTGCAAGCGTGAGTTGCTGTACAGGTGCGAGCAGCAGACAGTAGAAGGTCACGGGCAGAGCAGAGAGACCAAGAAGGGGATCTGTGAGGAGATATGAGGGGCTAGAATTCTTCCGTGCTTTATAGGTATGGGTTAGCACTTTGAATTGACTTCTATAGGATACAAGAAGCCAATGTAAGGACTGACAGAGGAGTGAGGTGTGAGAGGACCGACTAGAGAGGAAAATCAGTCTGGCGCAGCATTCATTTTCAGACTGTAGCAGGGCAATACGGCTTTTGGGAAGACCAATTAGGAGAGGGTTACAATAATCCATGCAGGAAATTACTAGAGCATGGACAAGCTTCTTGGTAGTATCTTGTGTATGAAAGGGACGGATGTGGGCTATGTTTTTAAGATGGAATCTACAGGATTTGGCAACATACTGGATATGAGGCTCAAAGGTGCTTTTGCAAGGATGGACTTATGTGGATACCACTAACTTGAAGGGAGCGTAAAAGAGGAGGATCTGTATTAGGAGGAGTAAAGACAAGGAGCTCCGTTTTAGAGAGATTGAGTTTCAGAAAGCGGGAGGACATCCAGTCAGAGATGGAAAAAAGGCAAGCAAGGTAGAGGTCCAGGGAGGAGAGATATATCTGGGTGTCATCAGCGTACAGGTGGTAGTGGAATCCAAATGAGATAATAAGTTTGCCAAGAGAGGCAGTATAAAGAGAAAATAGAAGGGGACCAAGGACAGCGCCTTGGGGGACTCCAACCAAGACAGGACGAGGGGAGGAGGTATTATTAGAAGGGAGAAACTGAATGAGCATTGGAAGAGATAAGAGGAAAACCACGAGAGGACAGAGTCACAGAGACCGAGTGATTGAAGAGTTTGAAGGAGGAGAGCATGATCAACGGTGTCAAAGGCATCAGAGAGGTCAAGAAGAATTAGTATGGAGTACTGGCCTTTGGATTTAGCTGCGATTAGGTCGTTGGTAACTTTGATAAGAGCAGTCTCAGTAGAGTGGAGAGGGCGCAAGCCAGATTGAAGAGGGTCAAGGAAAGATTTGGAATTGAGGAAGTGAGACATACGGTTTAAGACAAGTCTTTCCAGAAGCTCTGAAGAAAAGGGGAGCAGGGATGTGGGACGGTAGTTACAAACCTATAGAGCCACTCATTTCCAATTTCTCTTTTTCATTGTTACCTTCTCTCTCCCCAGATTACTATATCCCCAACAAATCAATCGTATGTCCTGGCTGTCATATTTCACTCTATCGTTTACTTCGTTATATATTATACCTCACCAAATGCTGCCTTATTTCAATAAATATCACTCAAATTCATAGGCGTGCGCACGGGGTGTGCCTGGGCACAACCTAATCAAGCCTCAAAATTGAGGCTCTGTCACCTCCGTGCTGCACTGCCGTCTGCCGCCCGTGTTGTTTGTCTCTTAATCCGATCCGCATAGTGAAGGACGGACTTGCTCCTCCCTCAGACCTCCCCTGTAACGTACGCGTTCCGTGACGTCACGCAGAGGCGGAGTCACGGCAACGCAAGGGTGAGGCCCAGCCGCAGTGCCAGAGCAGAGGCTGCAGAGTGGAGCACAGGCACAGCATTTTTTCCCCAGAAGGGGTTCCGGGCGGCAGGCAGATAGAGTAAGTTTAAATATGATTTCTTCTCCCTTCATGAGGCTGCAGGTTTGATTTAGCTATGTTATTTATAGTTCTGAGAACAATGAAATAGATATAATTGACACCAGCATTTGAGAACATACTTAAGAATTGAAGGAATCCAAATTTATTTCTTAATAAATATTATGTAATTTATCATTATTCTGGAATGTTACAGCTCCATACTCTGACATATAAAATACTTGCAATATACATGGCAGTTCTGAATGATTGCACTTCCAAAACACTAAGTGCATTTGATTGATTTTGCTCAATTTACTGGTGGATGTTATTGTATATTGTAGTTTTACTTGTATACTGTCCTTCACAATGCAAGTGCACAATGTCTATATATAATAGACAACACATGCTGTAAAACAGTTTCCTTCGAAGCACTGGCATCAACTACTATACAGCCAGGATCCTCCATTCTCATGTATGCTTCTTCAATCCTAGAAGAAAAAATGGCCAATAGTTAAAATAGCAAAATAGTAAATAGTAAAATAATTTTAAAAAATTAGTGTGTTCAATTGTCATAACTTGTATCCAGATTCAAAAATGTCTAATTACATAACAGCCATGTGTAAAAGCATGGCTGTGAGTGACTAAATATTACAAAATGTACACACACTACACTATACTACAACATTTACACACACTACAACCTCACACAAACACACACTCTGCAGTCACTACACACACACACTACATCTTTACACACACTCTGCAGTCACTACACACACTACCTTTTTTTCACTTAAAAACACAATCTGCGGTCACATCACATGTCAATTAAAAGACTGAATCGGTGAGCTTGCATGTTCCTTCCTTGACATCGCGTAAATGCAAAGTCCACCCACTTAGCAATAAAACATGGCTGCTTAGACATTACTGAGCAAGCCTATGCTGCTCAAAATCAGTATTGGTAGTATTATACCCTTCAAATATAAAGGGGCAACAGATAGCAAAAGCTATGTTTAAGAGATAAGAGTAAAACTTAAGAAAATGCAGATAGTAATGATAATTATTTTAGCTTAATGATGATTATACACCCATTGTTTAATTGTGAAGCAGGGCAGAATGCTCATAAAAATATGAAAATAATAATAATCGAGTATCAAAGAATAACGTCACAGAACAAATTTCAACAAGGGAAGCATGAAGCACGTTTTACCTTTAGATACACTGCTCGTAACAAGAGAAGACTTTATATCTGGCCATTGTTTCATTGTTCAACAGACAAGTACAGGACAAAGAAGTGGAGGAAGAGGGCAGCAATAGAGAAATAGAATGAATCATACAACGTGGAATGGAACTTATCAGTAAGTGTACCTAGGGCCGGTGCAAGGTTTTGGGCTACACAGGCAAAGATTGATTTTGTTGGTACCCCCCCTCTTGAATTTCGTACTCCTTTTGTGTTTCTTAGTCCCTCCTTTGTGTCGTACAGCTCTCATTAGTGTATCTTATCCCTGATTGTGTGTATCTAGGGTCGTAGCGCAGCGGCATTAGTCTCCTCCCAGAATGGCAGAGCGGCGTCAGTCACCCGTCTCACAGCCTTTCCTCCCTGATCCCTGAGCCTGCTGGTGTCTTCACAACAACTGAAGACTTTTTGGACTTTCAGTCTCAGATCACCCCTCTCGACGACCTGGACTATCTGGAGGTAAACTGCAAGGATAGAGACACTCTGTACGGCACTGACACATTATAGGGCCATCACATTGTACCATTGCTATGCATTCAATGTGCCATGTCCAATCAATGTGCCATGTCCCATCAATAAATGTGCAATGTCTAATCTGTCAATACTGTGCTCTGTATGGGTGGCAGTAAGTTGTTCAATCGTTTAGTGATCATGTAATGGCACACTGGTGGCACACAGCTACTCATATCTGTGCAGCTGGTCATCATACAGATTAATCATGCAATTCTATAAGGGGAGCTAATACTTGTTTGAGAGGGTGAGTGGTTGGAGACGGGAAGGGAGGGAGGAGGTGGGAGGTTAGTACAGTACTATCTGTGCAGTGATACTCATTCACTGCACATTAAAAGCCACAGTCACACTCCACATCAAGAAGGGCACTGTAGTGCTTAGCGGACCAGGAGGAAGTGATCTTCACTGGCAGCTTTAATGCTTAGAGGACGTGTCTGTTACAGTTACCTGTCTCCCCGACCCGTGTCCATTCAGAACTTAGGCAGCCTGTTGCTGCTTGCTCTATCAGGTTATCCATCTAGCCTATCCTCTGTTACATTTTTATATATAGATTATCATTATGTACTTTATAGGTATAATATAGGTTATGTTTGTCTTCATAGGTTATGAACTCTTGATATATTTGCCTCATTGTGGATGTCCAGAGTGATACGTCTGTCTGTTAATTCAAGTCAGTCTGTTTAAATCTTAACCAAGATTTATCGATCATATTGAAACACAGTCTGTTATCCTGAAAACAATAATTGTGAGATACAGAATTTCAAAATATGGATCGGTTTGTTATCAAGAAACCAAAAAAAGCCAACACCTCAGTCTCGGTGGTTAACACTGTGCCTGAGTATGTTGCTGCTAAAAGTGCAGAAGAAGATATTTCTGTTGGTTCCGATCAGTGCAGTTTACACTCAGAAAATGTACCAATTGATGATGTAGTGTGTAGCAGTGTATTACAAGCGTCAAGTCTTGATGAAGCTGAGGATGTTATTTTTTTAGTTCAGAACAGAGCTCATATTCAAAGCCATCAAACATACAAACTGATGAACCAGAACCAATGTGTAGTTCCAGTGAGTGCCAAGCGGCAGGTCATGACCAAACAGAAGACCTTACATATTTTAGTTCAGGTCTTTCAAGTCAGAGTACTTCATGTTCAAAAAAGCAATCAAACATAGCAGCTGATGATCCAGTCTGTAGTATTCCCCAAAACAGATTTGAACGCCAGAATCGAGTAGCTAGAAGCCCCTATCAGCCAAAACTGAGCATGTTTCGAGAACTAAAATAGGGAATAAAGAAAGAAATTTTCAGAGTGATTGGTATGGAAAATACAAGTGGCTCGAATACAGTCCAGCAAAAGATGCAGCATTTTGTTTCTACTGCCATTGCTTTTCTTCTAATGATGCAACACAAAAAGGTCACGCTGATCCAGCCTTTATTGAAAAGGGATTCAGAAACTGGCACAGGGCTAATGAATGTTTTAAAACTCACCAACAATCAAAATCTCATATGCTGAGCACTTCTGCATGGTCAAGCTTTAGTGAAGGAAAACATATTGATGTGTTACTAGATGAGAGCAAGAATGTTTATCTATCAAAAAAAGAAGAAGAAAGGTGCAAGAACAGAAATCTTATGAAGTGACTGATTGACATTATTCGGTGTTTGGCAACAGGTGGCAGACCATTTCGAGGCCACGAGAGAGGTTTATTTCTAAATATTGTCAAGCTACTAGAGAAATATGATCCTGTCATGCAAAGACATTTGCAAGAATCTCCTCGAAATGCTACATATCTGAGTAACCGCATCCAGAATGATTTAATTATGGCCTTACATAATATTGTGCAACAAAAAATTGTGTCAGCAATAAATGGAAAAATTATCTCAATAATTGCAGATGATACTGCTGACTGTGGACACCATGAACAGATGTCTGTTGTAGTACGATATTTTAATAATGAACAGCAAAGTCCAGTTGAGCATTTTGTTTAAATTCAAAGGCTTTTAAAAGTTGATGCTCAGTCGATTTTTTTTTTTAAATCTGACAATTTTTATTGTTTTCTTCAATATCGGTAGAGGGTCGATTTTTGACCAAATAAATAATGTTCTTGAAATTATTAAAACCGACTGGTTATCATTGATCTCTGTGTGCTTCGATGGAGCATCTACTATGTCTGGATGCATTAAAGTGTTTTCAGATGAAATGTAAAGAAAAAAAACATGAAATACTCTATGTACACTGCTATGCACATTGTTTAAACCTTGTCCTAGTTGATGCATGCACCTCAAGTAGACAAAACAGAACAGTGTTTGACTTCTTTGGCATTATCCAGACTCTTTATGCCTTCATGGAGGGAAGTCCTGTGAGACATGCCGTAATGGAGAAGATTTCTCAAGAAGTAGGAACTCAGTTGAAGACTCTAAAGTCACTGTCAAACACAAGGTGGGCATGCAGAGCAGAAGCAGTGGCTGCAGTAAAAGAAAACTTCTCAGTTATTTTACAGGCCTTAAATGAGATCATTGAATCAAGTCGCTTAGCTGATGCTAAAATAAAAAGCAAGGGGTCTTATTTGTGAATTAAATTCTTTCAAGTTTATCTTTGCTCTGCACATGATGCACCCTATTCTCCAAATCGTGGTAAAAGTTAGCAAGACTCTGCAAGCATCAAATCTCAACTTGCTTACTTCAATGACAGTGGTGAAAAGCCTGCGCAACTCCTTGGTTTCCATGAGAAGTGACCCAGATTATTTTCAGTCCATTTTCCATGACTGTGAAAAAAAGTGTGCCGAAAATAACATCACCATTAGGAAGAGAAAACCTTCTGTCCTTCTTGATGAAGCAGCAGCAGTCTCAGTATCACTATGAAACAAAAGAGGAGCAGGAGAGGATAACTTCATTTTACCCACTATTGGATTAATTGATAACTGGTATTGACCAGCGATTTGTGTGATATTGTAACTGCAGTAGGAAAACTGCTAAACTTGGAGATTCCTAAAGATGACATAGAAATCCTTGCCAACAAATTTAAGGTGTCAGTGGATGAATTGGAAGCAGAAGCCAAACTGCTAAGGGAGTATGATGGACCTACTCCTAAAGGTTGCACCACAAATACCATCAAAGAGTGGCTTGATTGGTTTAAAGAATCAGATCGATCCAACACATTTAATGTTTTTTATAAGTGTGTTCAGTGCTTTACAGTGTTACCTGTGACAAGCTGTTCATGTGAAAGAGCCTTTACAAAACTGCCACATGTAAAAACCAAACTGAGGAGTACACTGTCCCAAGAACGCCTGGATGCACTCATGATATTATATATTGAGCAAGAATTGGCTTGGTCGGCTACTTATAATGAGATCATTGAAGAATTTAAGTCTATAACACCTTCTGTGAGACGTCTTCTTCTCTAGAGCATAAAGAAGAGGAATCCATAATAGTCTGTAGGTGTCCTGACAACTTTACTGATGCCAAATTGGTTGAAGCAACATTTTGATTTAGTTTTTGTTGTAAAAATTCCCATGTACCATGCACTTTGTGTAAAAATGTTTACTTAGATTTGTAACAGTTATAACAGCTTATTTATTTTAAATGTTTTTTTAAGTTAAAAAATTTGAAATGTTTGTTTACATTGCTAAATGCTTATTTAATAAAGTTTTTATACGGTTTTTAAATGTTTGTTTATATTGATAATTATATGAGTGCGGGTCTGTATGTATGTATGCAGAGTGCATTTGTGTGTGTGTGTGTGTGTATATATATACATATATATATGTATGTGCGGTGTGTGTGTTTGTGCTTTAGGGTGCACACCCTAATGCAATAGGCTGCGCACGCCTATGCTCAAATTCAGAAACCACAAAATCTTCCAAACTATATCTTGTATTGACTACCGCAGTGTTGTCCTTTGTGGCTTCCCTGACTCTCCTTTGGCTCAATTTGAATCCACTGGTTCCTTTCCGTTCCCTCTAATATGTCCATCCCTAATAATTTTGCCCTGAATATTATTTTCTCTTGTTCACTACCGTATGATCTCTCTCCATTTTGTTATAACCTTTACTAATAGTGTTTTGCCCTACAGAGTTATATGTATCAGAGAAGACTGTTCAAGTAAACACTACAAGTGGTTAGACCGCAGTAAAATCAAGAAGATAATGAGTTAATCTGCTACGTTATAAGCTATACCAAAGAAGTATTTTTTTTGGGGGGGGGGTGACTGAATTGTTTAGAGTTTGGAAGGTAGGTGAACGGCTGACAGCAGTGTGTTGGATTTGTACATTTTATAAGAATATGGTATCCTTACACAAGTCTCTAATTCAAGAGCTGGTGGTGATGGTGAGAACGGAGGAGGTCGATGGAACAGAGAGATGGAGATGGGTAGCATTTGGTAGAGTTCGGAATACAGTTGTAAAAAACTTTGTTGAGAATTTTAATTCAATCTGAAATAAAAACAAGAAACTGTTAAAGGATTTAAAGTTTGTTTAGGATTAGAAGAGAAACCGGTAATAAACATAAGTCTGAATTCAGCATTCATAAAGTTGGTATGTGGGATTCTCAGTGAAGACTAGAGATAATGAGTGCATGGCCACGAACATTGGTCATATCTTGTAGTAGAAAAGGGGCATCCAGTGGACTATCTTTTATAAACAGATGTGTTCACACAATGCTCGGATGTTAGTGCAGCTTGATATCTCTTGTATGGCTGTTTATGCAACAATAGAGTCACCCTCAGTTTTAGGCTCCAAAAAAGGTATGAGTACCTAAAGGCAATATGGTTTTTAGAGCATGGATATAATGAGTTTTAAAAATCTGCTTTATATTAAAAATGACCCAAGAAAGCTAATAATCTGGAAGCTAAAGACTTGACTCTCTGGAATGCCAATATTCGCCAGGAATAACAAAAAAGTAATATTAAAAATTGTTATGAAAACATGATTGTAATTAAGAGTTTGCTATATTAGTTAAAATACAAGTAACTCTTAAGTGAAGCAAAATTACTTCCTTTCTCTGTAAATATGTTAATATATGCTTTTTATTACGTACAGTGGAATGTTGTGGTCCCTTTACTGCCCATATTACGTTGTAGATATATTTAACATCTAAAAGGTTAAAATAGCTATAATGCCAAAATCAACACAAACTGTTTTTTTTTTTTTTTTGGTTATCTTTATAATGTTGTAAGTAAAAGATAGGACCTCTTTAAATACAGTATTTGTCACACGATATGCACAACTCTACGTCATCCTGTCTAGTCTGTTTTACCATTTCCCATGGACATGTTAGTCGTTAGCAAAGTCCAAGTGGTCTCAGATTTGCAAGTATGGGCACATTTCCCACTGGGACACCGAGATCATGACTTTGGGGACAGCAAGTGGGTGAGAGACGGAATTGTGGTAGAACTGGATCATCCGTGAGGCAATGTAGACATTTCCATATTGCCTGGGGTCAAATTGTGGGATCAAGCACTTGGCCAGGTGGAGATAAGATGATCTAACATACCCTCTAACATGTTTTCTTCTACCATAGACACTGTAACCCTCACAGTGTTTTAAGGAGCGCAAAGCAAAATGACATAAAATTCCAGTGGAATACTCACAATAGTTTTCTTCCCAATCCAATGTGAGAAACGCACTGTGGAAAGAAGCAAAATCCCATCATGCACTTACTCATTTATCACTAGTGAATTAAATGGAGGGAAAAGGAGTAGCCAAGTGTAAGAGATATGGGGAGATATACATTTGGTGTCAAGTAATTTGGGTATGTAGACAGTTGTCAAATATTTAAAATTGATTTGCAAGTCAGATTTTGGTGAAGCAGTAGCCAAGACTTGGTTTAGAAATTAGGGAGGGATGTGTTGAAGAACTGGAGAAGTCTTTGAGAGTAGAAGGGGATAAATTGGTATAAAGAAGTTAGATGTAATAATGTCCTAAACACTAGGAGCTATTTCAAAAAAGTAGTTGTCAATGAGTACATAGACCTTACCAGCTGCCATTACCCCCCCCCCATGGTTCCAAAATATTCCAAAGGGGCAAAACATTGTTTAGGAATGTTTAGGAATTGTAGCAATGTGGAACAGTTTGAATATCAAGCTAATGTTTTAACTAATATTTTCAAAGAAAAAAACTATGAACCTGAAGAATTGGAAAAGCAGAAAATGATGGTACTGTCTCTAAATAGGGAGAATCTCCTTAGATATAGGAAAGATAAAGTTGGGAAACAGGATATTAATACAAGAGGAATCCCGATAATTTTAGATTACAACGGCAACTCAAAACAAATTAAACACATAATCAACAAATACTGGCATGTCCCTAAAACAGATAAATACAATTTTGGGAGAAAATATGAATATAGTGTTCCGAGGGGCCAAAAATATCAAAAGCAAGTTGGTCAAAAGCTTTATAAAGGATCCTCCAGTAAGGAATATGTTCAACCTACAGAAAGGGTTTTACCCATGTAAAACATGTACAGCGTCTAGGAGGGTTTAATAAGTCTAGGAGGGTTGATTTTGAGTCAAATATCTCGAAAAAAATATATAAAGTGAAGGATGTCCTTTCTTGTAATTATACCAATGTGGTGTACCTTCTCTGGTACCCCTGTGGCTTGCAGTATGTCTGCATGACGACTAGGAAGCTTAAAAGACGCATACTGGAGCACATGGGGAATATCCAGAGGGGGTACACTAAACATAGTGTATCTACCCATTTTTCTGTGTCACACAATAAAGATCCATCAGTTTGGGGATTTATGGTTATTTGCCAGAGAAAACATAATTGGAGGAGTGAGAATAACTTTAGAGAGCTCAGTAGAGTGGAAAGCCAATGGATTTTCGAATTGGAATCTCTCCATGATCCAAATGGCCTAAATTTAGGTTTTGATTTAGCTCATTTTTTGTAATCAATTTTTATAATGTCTTATCTATTTGGATGTACATTTTTTAATGTCTTGTAATTTTAATTGATCAGATCCACCTCATGGTAGCTCTCTGTGGTTGTTGTCATACCCTACAAAGTGTATTGGTGATAAATCCATTTGCCAAAGTGTGCTAGTGGCATTTGGATTTGCAACAAATGTATTGTAAACACAAATTTTTTCCTTCTTCTGGATATCTGGTAAAAGTAATTTCATTGATCTGATGGTATTGCCCCTTTTTTTCACATTGGTATCAAATTTATTATATTATATAAAGAGGTTTGTACACGCTGTATATGTAAACATGCTATTAATGTTTTCCGTTTCTGTGGAGACACAGATGTAATATTACACGTTTGGCAACATTGCCCATCTTGTGTATGGACGTTGTATCACTTCCGACGAAACACAGATGGGAAGTGACGTAATGACACACGTGACCGGAAGCTGATGTCAAGGCACACGCGACCCGGAAGTGAATGGCGTTTTCCCGCGATCCGGAAACGGAGTTGATTTCTACTGCGAAAACTTGAACATTCAGTAGGAATTGAAGATATAAAAGGGTACAGAGGGTCTGTTTAACTTTATGTTGCACTGAGGAAGACTATTTTTAGTCAAAACGCGTTTGCATTTTGTACTTGTACTAAGGACTTATTGTATATTGCGGTATTGTAAGATTTTTTCTACATACTGCTTATATATGTCCTGATTTTATTATATTAATTTTATCTCAATAAATGTTTTTTTGGAACCGCTGTGGGTCTGCATTTGAGATACCTTTGTAACCATCAATTGGCACCCTAATGCTGATTTCATAGAGCATGGCACGGCTCTATATTTGTGAGTGAAGATTTTACATCTTATTTCCTCTATACTGTTATCATACAGATTTCACTATGTGTGGTTAAATTTATTTTGTGTGGATCCTATGGGAGATACCTTGTCCTAACTACAGAAAGTGTCTATTGGGAAGTACATATGTGTGTTTTTTCCTATGAGTATTACACTTGGTGTTGTATATATATGGTAGTGTGATTATTACCAGTATTGTTATAAATATGTTTGAGTAAGATAGAGTGAGAAAATTGAGACTGTGGGGTTCAATAGTAGGATTTGATAAACAAGGAACTGGAGTAGTTAGACAAGATACATTTTTCAAAGAAATAAAAGAGAAAACTGATTGGTGATTAGACAAAAGAGGGCTGTGGAGAAAAAAAGCTAATTGTTTGAAGGATAGAGAAACTGGAAAAAATGATCTGCATGACTACCCTGTTTCCCCGAAAATACACCCTACCCCGAAAATAAGCCCTAGCTGGATTATCGGGGTGGGCTGCAATATAAGCCCTACCCCGAAAATAAGACCTAGGCATTGCACCTTGCAGCCCGGCGAGACTTCCTTCTTCTACCGTATGAGGAGGAGGGGGAGGAGCGTTGCGGGCCGCGGCATCGCGCAACGTGATGACGACCTTTCGCAGCGCCGTCAGTCTGCCTTCACGGATCTTCAGCGGAAGGATCCATTTCCGGGCGGTGAGGCTCCCAGTGGTCGGACTCGGCAAGGAATCTTTGAAATGTGAGTACTGCTAGATATTTTATGTCTAGGATTAATTGAATTAATTAAAGGGGGTGGGGGGTGAATTAATTAAAGGGGGGGTGAATTAATTAAAGGGTGGGCTGGATTAATTAGAGGGGGGTGAATTAATTAAAGGGGTGGTGAATTAATTAAAGGGTGGGCTGGATTAATTAAAGGGGGTGAATTAATTAAAGGGTGGACTGGATTAATTAGAGGGGGTGAATTAATTAAAGGGGTGGTGAATTAATTAAAGGGTGGGCTGGATTAATTAGAGGGGGTGAATTAATTAAAGGGGGGTGAATTAATTATAGGGTGGGCTGGATTAATTAGAGGGGGGTGAATTAATTAAAGGGGGGTGAATTAATTAAAGGGTGGACTGGATTAATTAGAGGGGGTGAATTAATTAAAGGGTGGGCTGGATTAATTAGAGGGGGGTGGATTAATTAAAGGGGGGGGTGGATTAATTAGAGGGGGGTGGATTAATTAGACAGTACGGTATTTTGATCCCCAGACAAGATGAGTGCAAAGAGAAAAAGCTGTACATACCGGTACTGTAAATAAATAAGCCCTACCCTGAAAATAAGCCCTAGTGTGTTTTTTGTGACTAAAATTAATATAAGACCCGGTCTTATTTTCGGAGAAACACGGTACATTAGGGTAAAAGGCCAGGGAAAAAGAGACAGAACATTTGAGAGAGAAAGATGGAATAGGAATATTGGAAAAAATTATGACCATGACCAGCATGGTGAGGGGAGCAGGAGATAGCAATACAGAACAGAGGGATTTATAACCCACAGTTCAACGTGTGTTCATTACTGCCTAGGTCTGTGTCTGGGATGGTACATTTTCTTCCAGGGATGACTGAAACAAATCCTGATTTGTCTCACAGTTCAAACATTTTAAAAGGGCACACAAAGTACCATAACGTTATGGTCCACTTTAGTGGCGTCAGGAACAGGGCTGATCCTCGGCAAGATAAAAGCCAAATCTTAAAAAAAGTCACAGTCAAAGCAATAGAAAAGGTGTATTACCAGACCTTCAAACGATCGGGCGTAATGCTTCATGTAGAAATTGGAAGTGGCAGCTCTAAAACTACTAACTCCAAGGCTAGATAAACTAACTGAGGACAATTTCTAAATCAGGAAATGCAAGTATCCCTGACTTGAGTAGCCAAGTCAGGGATACCAGAAAAAAATGATCATGGCAAACCGGGTCAAAAACCAGAAAAATAAAAAATACTAAGAATAACATGCTTACGGGTCTGGCATCACGAATGGGTGCCGATTACAAGGTGTACTGAGTTGAAACGGCCTGACATTACAAACCTGCATGAGTTGAACGTGCATATTTGTGTCAGAAAAAAAAGCAATAAAACCTGCGTCATTTTAAGATAGACTAGTACTAAAATGACGGGACTGAAGGCACAAAACACGCAAGGGGAGTCCAGAATGATGCAAGCTGGGAGAAATTGACACAGGAGTGTCTTTTCTTGTAATTGATGCAGGAGTGTAATTTTTGGTGCATGGCAAAACTGGGGCAGGTATACTTACCAGTGGTTATGGTGCCAGCATAACTCAGCACCATTTCCCAGTTCTGTGTGGGTCCTGGCTTTGTGTGTGTTTGTGGCTATGTGTACACATGTCTGGAAGTGCATGACCGGGGGAGCCCAGACTTTTTTTTTTTTTTTTTTAAGGGACCCCAAAATTTCTGATGGCAGCCCTGCCAAAAACCATAAAGTGTAATGCTGAGCCCCTTCGCCAGTGCTCATGCCCCGCTATTCCATATTGGATCCTGGGCATCTGCATCCTCCACAGCATGATATGGGCTTCCTTGCATCCCCTGGTGCGACTGCATAGAGGTGGATGCTGGTGGCTCCATTCCTAAATGTGACTAGAAACGGAGCACCAAATGAAGCTTATGGAGAGTGATGACAGGTGGATCCCAATGATGTTGGTGATGTGAACACATCATAACGATGGTGTGCCTAACACCCACTCCCAATGTAAACCCCTATTCACATGCTTCTTAGCTCTTCCAGTGCCTGTCAATATAGCTCTCTGGTTTCTCTCATTTGTTAATTATTATTATTATTATTATTGCCATTTATATAGCGCCAACAGATTCCGTAGCGCTTTACAATATTATGAGTAATAATTTATTATCACTTAATAAAGTTCCCATGCTAAAATTCATCTATCTGGCTGCCATCTCATTTATCAAGCCAACAATTAGTAGTGTCACTGCAAGGGTGTGCAGGACTCCGCACACTGACATACCTCCCAACATTCCAAATGGAGGAACACTGGCAAAACTGTCCAGTTGGATGGGTGGCGAATAGCAATAACAATTTGTGGAACTAAAATGTGATTTAGAACAAGATCAATGCATCTTATTGACACATACTGATTTCTAAACACAAAAAGACACATTACTGTGAGTATTATTGCTGCAGAACTCTGTTATACACTCAGACACACCAACACTATGGAACTCCTAGGAAATAAACAAGTTATAATAGAAAAGAGAGACAGAGGGATTTGGGCCCCAAATGTGGACTGTCCCTCCTAAATAGCAACACTTGGGAGATGTGCACCGAACTTCTTCCGACTAAACATTTACCTAGTTAGATATCAGAGATGTGGCTGTCTTTGCCAATAGTATCTGAGATAATCTGTAACGTAAATACCACCATGGATTATGTTACAGGCCTCTGGGTGGGGCAGCACAAGATTAATAGACGGCAACAATTTATTACACAGACATCTGTCTGCCAATTAGTAGCAAGGGTTCCACTGACAGTATGTAACAGTGTTTTGCCTCTTAGACCCACCTATACTCCTGTGCTCCTTTACCCCAGTTACCTTTTGGGCTCTGGGGTGAGTCTCCGCCACCTGGGAGTTGAGGTATATGACTGCCGTGGTGCTTCCACCCAGCGGGCCATCCAGGCTATAGATATGGGGTCCCACTGAGAACATGTCTATGTGCGCAACAAAAAGTGGCACCGAGCTAACTTAACTATAACTTTGTATTGTACAGTATAACATTATGCAAGGATATAACATATACATAAATGTAATGCAGTAAAATGGCAAGGGTGCAATAGACAATATGAACTTCATCCACCTACAACCAATACGATGGCTTCACCCTACTGGAAGTCAGATGCTTGGCCAGTAACACTGGAGATCATGGTCTTTTAATCGTGTAACCAATTTTAGGGTGCCCTGTTATGAAACTGGGGGAGAGGTTTTAAAATTACCACTCCACAGCCTGCAATCTGATTGGTTCAGGAAGGGGAGTGCTGTACTTACCGTACTTAACCTTTTCCCAATCACTTCCTCTTTCCTACTCTGGCTTTCTTTTTTTCATCTTTCATCTATTTCTAACTAAATACATAAGTAAAGTACTGATTACTTTGTGTTATGTATTGTTCCTACGCTTGACTTTCTTACACTCTAGGTGGAGCCTCAACTTCCTGTGTTTAGGAAAGTTTATGCAGAATACTCACCTTTCCTCTGTATTCTCGCGTTGCCTCATTTCGCTCTTTTCGAAGTGCTAAGAAGTGAGCATGCGTGTGAATTTGCCTGAGTGAGCTAGTGTGGGCAGATGAGGCGATGTGTTAAAGATCATTTCCATTAACACTAAGATGGTGGCGCTTAGAAAATAGTTTTGGAGAAGAAATGAGACAGTAAAAAAAGATGGAATGGATGACCTAGAGGCATATGGGGGTGATAACAACAAAAGGGTACGGGAGTCAGGTTTAAAAAAAGTGGATGTGGCCATAATAGTGTTACTTTAACTGCTGCAGTGATTCCTACCACGATCTCAACACTCTCTGCTACAAACAGCGCTGTATATCTTGGGCTAGTAACAGCTATTTGATGGAATGCTCTCCCAGGATGCTCCAGCACTCCTCTAAACACTAGATCAAACAGGTCTCAATCCCAGGCCTATATCTCTGCGTAGCAGGGAGTCTTTCACTTCTTCCAGCCATGTGCTCAGAACCTCACCATCTGCTGGTTAATACACAGAACTGCTAGTGAGAAAGTTATCCCAGAGGGTTTACAAGTACATTACTAGAAAGGTGTAATGACTAAATATTCCACCAAAGAAAATGATACTATTTGGATTTTTTTCCAAATGTCACCATCAGAGGGTGCATGTCATGACAAGATTATTGA